TAGTCTATGTAGTTGTGGTTAGTTAGTCTGTGTAGTTCTGGTTAGTTCTGTTTAGTTAGCCTGTGTAGTTCTGGTTAGTTAGTCTGTGTAGTTCTGGTTAGTTAGTCTATGTAGTTTTGGTTAGTTCTGGTTAGTTAGTTTGTGTAGTTCTGGTTAGTTCTGGTTAGTTAGTCTGGTTAGTTCTGGTTAGTTAGTCTATGGAGTTCTGGTTAGGGTGGAAAGTGTTTTGAATTGCTTTCTGGCAATAAAAAAAGTGTAATTTCTTCTTTATTTTTTCACATGAGAACTCGTAGCACAAGAGGAAAGGTAAGAAAATTGACTTTTAGATTTTACACTTTTATTTTTCCACTCTTTTCAGTTTAAATATATTAGTAAACAAAATGTTTTCTGATTGCTTCAGCCTGAGCTGGTCTGATTTACAGAGCTTCAGTGAAGTGGCCTTACTGGATAGAAGAAAATCTTTGATGCTTAACGGCGTCTGTTGTAGCGATAAAAACAAGTCTGAATGTATCCAACACTGTCTGCTTTACTTACATCAGAGTAATTGTTTAATGCTTTTAGAGTTGAACAGACATAACGTTTCCTTCAGTCTGTGCTAAACATCAGGACAATCTTTAAATCATTATTCCAAGTAAGTTTGTGCAAAGTAAAAGCACAAGGTAAAAAACTAAATGTGCACTAACTAAAAAAACGTAGCTGACAGTTAAGATCTCGTTGAAACAGACCAGCAGCGGAACAGTCGGAGCCTAAAGTTTCTACCCATCCATCCACAAAGACTTCATGTTAGTTTTCCACAACATTAGGCTCCTTTAAGTTACCTTTAATTAAATCTTCAATTATCCACCTCCTCTTAAAAACAAGTTCAAACATTCAAAAAGCGTTCAATACAAAAACAACTGGACTTTATTTATAACAGAAGACGTTTCGCTCCTCATCCGAGGAGTTCAAACATGTTTTAAGGATTTAAAAGAAACTACCTTGCAACAGAGTGTCTGAAGTACTGCGGTTTTCTGGTTACAACAAGCGGTACACCGATGTCCCCCGTCGCTGAGGGACTTGAAAAGTGAATGTAGTTTTAGAGATGAGTGTTTTTCTGGACTGGAACTGAACTGGGGATGGAAGTGAACCTTAATGTTTCAAGTTGGTAGGAGTTACACTGTGGTGAAGAGGTTTAATTATTTTGCTTCACTGAGGCGGGGGTGGCCATTGGTGGCCTTGGTCAACACTAATTATTCTTGGGCCACCTCAATCATTTGGGGAAGCTATACTTTTAAACTATATCAAAACTATAAAGCGTAGTTGCTTCAAATGACAGGGGTGGTCATTATATGGTTATACAAGTGGGGCACCCCGCCCCATCAACAGAACTGAGCGCCCCGCCTACCGAACTGCGCACCACCCCCTTCGACACTAATGTAGCGCTAAGCTAGTGGTGCGCAACACAGACACGCTAGCTAAAAAGCTATGTAGCATTCAGTTTCCCTCACAGTAGCTATATTTACATGCGCAATTTTTTTTTGAGCGGATTGAAATGTTTTCAGATTAAATAATTCAAATGTATTGTTTACACGGGCACAATCTGTTCACGATGAGTGTTTACAAGCAGCGGGTTTGTTCTGAACAGCAGTACTGACATGTGTAAAGGGTAAACTCTCCTTAAAACACAGAAGAAGAAGTTCTACTTCTCCTTCTACTACTTTTACTTCCTGGATGAACGTAAACAAGCTGAGCACCAAAATGGACCTGCGACAGTTTTAATGTCGTGGAGACGTTGCTGCGCTCCCGACTGAGCTGCAGGTCATGCACATCATCCTGAGCTCGTTCTAACTTTCTAGAAGAAATGTTGTCGCTCGCGACATGCTAATATTATTAGCATTAGCCAGGAGGAAGTGACACAGGTCACACATGCGCAGTCAGGTCAGTTTTTCACCATCAGATAAAAATGAACAGATCAAGTGTTTACATGTGCACCGTTCGGGTTAGGAATCGGAAAAAACCTCCCGTTACGTTCTGATCACAAATTAATTCAGATCACGCTGAATAAACAAAAAATAACCCGGACGGGGTGTTTACATGACGCGTTTTTATTCTGAACGGCCGTTTGATCCGATTAATTATGTCCATGTAAACACAGCTACTGAGCTGTCCTCCCCCCAAACAGCATGCAACTCAGATGTGTCTCCATCTCACGCCCGCCCCCAAGAGATGAGCGCCCTGCCAAGCCAAGTAAAGTGTGTGTGTAATATATATATATATATATATATATATATGTATGTATGTATATGGTGGTTGCCATCTTGGATTTTGACGTGGCAATTTTTGATAGTGACCTTTCATACTCCTAGATGTAGCTACACACTAAAATGTAAGTTGGTACTTCACTTATTTTTCAAGTTATCGCGCTCACAACATGCACAGACAGTCAGAGCGTACTGCATTTTGAATTCCACCTCTTTGTGACGGGGAACAAAAGAAAGTTCTTACATAAAGATCCTAACAATCCCAAAACAATCCTGATCTTTGATGTTCCCCTTAAGCGTGCACTTTGTGTGCCACACATTAACACATAAACCAGTCGACCGTTTCTTTAGGACTCTCAGAACCAGAAAACTGAAATTAAAAAGGTGTTGCTGTTAAAAATGATCAACACATAAACTATGACCCTAAGTTTGGACAAGAGTTCCTGATCCCAGCCCTGTTGGAGCTTTGATGAGGTACGACCTGAACCATCTAAACACTTGGTGGCGTCACCGTCTTGGCCACACGTCACAGAGCTCGAGTTATCCACTGACAGCTTTTCATCCAAGTGCTAACACACCGCAGCGTGGGCTGTTGCTGGGGTGCACACGAGCTCAGATCTGACGTCAAAAAAATAAGATACTTTTGGCTCCAACCGTGCAGCCATGACAGAATCAGTTACATCAGCCCCGACAAGCATGAACCATGCAGCGGGTTCTGGAGTGAACCACTGGGTATTGATCAAAGTAAAAAGGTTTTCACGTGAGGCTGAAGACGTTATCCCATTAAGGACAAACACAAACAGAGGCTACATACCTCAGAGAAAATCAAGTGCACACGTCCCATCACGAGTGAGCTCAAGAAGTCTTTCAAATATTACAGCTGGGAAAAGGTCCTAGCTGCTGCTTCTGGGAACAATGCGTTACAGGCTAAAGCATCAACCTTCTGATCACATAAACATGCACAAGGACAAGACTGACTTCAGCCAAAACAAAAACACTCCAGATCACTACAGGAAAATGCATAAGCACACACAGACAGGAAGAATATTAAGTGGGAGATCGCCTGGAAGGTAGTGAGCTCAGCACGACTGCTAGCTTGTATCACGGACCTTCCATGCTAAAATGGTAGAGCCCAGATTCCTCTCCATGCGATCTGCCACCAGCAACCATGGAGGCAAAACAGGAAAAAAAGAGGAGAGACAGAGGTACTGAGGGAAACCCAGAGCTCTCCCTTTTTCCATCACTCTCTGAGAAAACACGCTCGCACACTTGAAGACAGAAGCACGCAGACCCAAACACAGGAGAGACGGGAGGATGGAGATGATACTTACATGAGGACTCTGTGCCGAACATGGCTGGGCCAGGAGCTGTGATGGAGAGAGAGGAAGAGGAGAAGAAGGAGAAAGAGAGGAAAGACAGGGGGAGGGAGGGGGAAGAAAGAGAGAGGGGGGAGGTTGATGAGCAGGCAGCTACACAGCGGGGGTCATCAAAGCAACACGATGTAGCCAGTCGGGCCGTCGCTGCCTCCCAGACGGCCCGATTCCCCGGCACTGCTTTCAAAGATCTCCTGTGAGCGCTCGGTGGCGCTCGGCGGGTCCAGGAGGCCGCCTCGCGCTCTTTCAGGGACTGATTCAGAATCAAAACCAGCAGAAATCCTTCACAGCAGTGAATGCAGGGTCCAAATCCAGGACGTGGCTAGCTGCTGCATCCTCGTCCTCCCTGCTCTGTCAATCCCTCACTTCTCATTCCACTGTAGAACGTACTAATGGACAGGGGGAGGGGGTCTGAAGCAGAGCTATGGACACGGCTGGGCTGCCTACTGTTAACAGAACACATCTGGCCTTCATCACCTCATCATCAGTCCAACCTGAGCAGGAAGCTAAATAAACTGGTGGCGCTGGAAACAAATCCTTCACCATCATCCACTGAACCTTGTGACCTTTGTTTAACGGAGACCCCAGACAGCTAAACGTCCTCTGTTAGTTCATCTGTGCCTCTGAACGTCCTCCGTTAGTTCATCTGTGCCTCTGAACGTCCTCCGTTAGTTCATCTGTGCCTCTGAACATCCTCTGTTAGTTCATCTGTGCCTCTAAACGTCCTCTGTTAGTTCATCTGTGCCTCTAAACGTCCTCTGTTAGTTCATCTGGGCCTCTGAACGTCCTCCGTTAGTTCATCTGTGCCTCTGAACATCCTCCGTTAGTTCATCTGTGCCTCTGAATGTCCTCTGTTAGTTCATCTGTGCCTCTGAACATCCTCCGTTAGTTCATCTGGGC